GTCTAAAAAAGGAGACAAAATATTATTGAGGACTGCTGTACACGCCTCTACTACGAGAGCTTTCATGTGTGCGGTTGCCAGATTTCAAGAGTTAAAATCCCTGAATCAGAGCTTCTCTGTTACAAGAGAACAGATACTATTTAAACTGAACTTAGCTGGATGATGACATCACTGAATTCAATGATGAACTGCCTTTAATTGAAAATTGAGTGTTTACTATTATCCTTTTGCATTATTGACACACTATTTTTCTATGTAATACTGTAAAGCTGCTTTGACACAATCTGTATTGTTAAAAGTGCTATATAAATAAAGGTGACTTGACTTGACAAGGATACATTTTCTGCCCAGTGTTTTATTTATTTTTTGCAATCTGGCAACCATGCGCAGGTGCTTGCTCTTCATTGTGAAAGCGCCGCTGACGATGATCTGAAAACAGCGACAAGCAAGCTGGAGTTTAGTGATCTAAATCAAAGTGTCATTCAGCCGGTCTGTGTTCTGTCATGAGATCTCGACTATAATGTTTGCGATTGCGGTTGCTGAATAAATGCATACTCAACCGCTGTTGTTTTAACTCTTTCCCCGCCATTGACGAGTTATCTTGTCTTTTACAAGAAAACGCTTCCCCGCCAAAGACGAGTTTTTACGTCTTTTCGTGTTTTCACTGTTATACACTCGGGGGTGCAATTACGCATCTTCTGAACGAGTACAAAACCTCCTGAACAAAAACACACATGAACAGGACGGGGAAATGAGCCATCTCTTATGTAAACAGATGCATATGAAAAATAATGCGATCATCAGCGAAATGTGATTTTCTCACCTTTTTGCTCAAAATTCTGCATTTTTTATGAAACCTATCTATATTCAAGTGTTGATAAAAAAAAAGAATGCCTTAAGCTAGAATAAAGCTGACTTGTTTTTTTTTTTTTACTTTTTCTGTTTAAAAGTAGAGGCTCTGATCTTTATTTTGATGTATTGCATATTCAGATATTCATACAGCAAAATATACTGGAGGCCATCAAATTTTAGTGAAAATTAAAATCACTGGCGGTGGCTGGCAAC